TTGTTGTCTCATTCAAGTCTGAGTAGGCAATGGTGCACAATGTTACTTGATGGATGACTCTCTTGTCAATCCGAAATCAAGGTACTGTGTAAGATTGACATATGTTGAGATCGAGGTTAGTGGTCGGGGGGCAAAGCTATATTCTTGTCTCAAATTCACCTTTCACTACAATAATTGACCTACCACTACTCCTAAGGCTATACAGAGAACCCCTATAAGCATAGTTATCTTTCACAATTGACAAGGTATTGCATGTTAACCTTTGCTCTACTAGTGGTTAGGGTGAAGGGTTGGGGTTGGCGGTGGACTAACACAAAAATTGAGCACTTTGCTAGTAGTTATACGTCTCTTTCCGTCTTCCCCGCCCCCATTTAGTCACAACAGTGTCTAAGGCAGACACAACCCACTCACACATGTGTGGGCTAAGCCTAATATTTCAATTGGTTGGTACCAAGCGTATCCTAGAACGTCACCCCCTTCAATTTTCTTTCCAATTTAAACCATTTTTTTTTTTAAAAGGGAAAATTTACGTTGTACCTCTTAGATATGTAAGTAGAGCCAGATGCCATTTTTGATCGATTTCTTTGTGATATACCCTTGTCAGGTCATGAGGCGAATTTGCAATCTCATTCCAAAAAAAGGAAGGTGTTGTCAGTCAACTATTCAGATTGCAATTTGTCGGTGACGAAAGCAATTTAATGCACTGGAGAGACGCTCCTTCCTCCCAATCTGCTTCCCCTTATCCTATGAGTCTGCTTCATTGTAAGCATTTTCAACCGCATCTTGTATATTATTAATTTTACTTACAAGGTGAGCACGTCGTATCATATTTGTTACTATTATTATTTTTGTTGCTTAGAAGGTTGACGGTCTTGAGCCATAATGTTTTCTCCCTTTCTCTCCACCTCCACCTTCACGTCCATCTTCATGTCCCTTTTTACTCCCATCGGTCTCTTGACTTTTGTCTCCTGCTACTTTTCCTCCACCAGTCTCCACCGCCACCTCCACCTTGATCTCCATTCCACCTTCACCTCCACAGTCTCTCCACTTGCATCATTAACAAACAAATAACTTTGTATAACAATGATGGTTATATGGGTGTAGTTGACAAACAGGATCACGTGAAAGAGGAGTTTATAGTATGAGTTGGGATTAGGACGGGCAGGCCACTGCCACATGGATGCAAGGGATGGACAATTTCATGTAAAAGCAAAGTGAGCTTGCGAGTTGGGAATGAGACCAGCCTGGAAGAGGTCATTGTTGGCCTCCAAGGGCCAGCGAGATATATTGAAAAAATGACTTAGGCCGATAGGGGTAAACTGGGCCCTTTCAAAATTGGCACGTACTGAGGTATTTCAAAATGTTGCACCGGTACTTGGTAGAGTTATATTGCAAAGATGACAAACTGACGCAAATGGTATTCTGCAAAGTTTTTTTAATTGTCAAAGGGGTATTACACTCTACCACGATTCCTTGGGGGCACATATATCTCACCTCTGGCGCGTTGGGATATCAACATTGAATTGACCCCGATAAATTTTTAATTATTTTATATTGTTCACGTGGTTGCAACTTGATTTGAACTTAAGTCTATATTTTGGCAGTTCATGGGTGCACTCACTGAGCAAGGCTCGTTGGTATTTGGACTATTTCTCCATCTTCTAACCCAACTCTGTCAAATATGAAAGAATGGTTATTTTGGCATTATTATCATAGTCTTACGGGGATACCGGCACCAGGTGGGCGATACCGGCCAGCGGTCAACCGATAGCATCAAGGCTGAGCTTCATCCAAGTGGCCAGTCGATGTACCTCCCCTCCAGTCCCCTCCGCTACGAACAACTGCATTATCTCCTTAATGCCGACAGGGGGGCCAAAATGGTTTATCTGTAGATGGTGGGCACTAAGTATGCCTAGGTGTTGATCCCATGACCTCCTGAATGCCATATGTGTGCCTTACCAACTGAGATAGGCCGCTGACTTTTGGACCATCTATGCTTTTCCTTGGGATAATTTGTGATATACCCCCAAAGATGAGAAATGCCCCTGCTGGGAAAATGTAGAAATTTGTGTTATAGACTATGACGGCGTGACCCATACAGCCAGGCTTCAAGTTGCACTCGTTTTTACCCGGTTCATGACAAATGACGAGGCGGAGAGATATGTCCCTGCCATGACAAATGCATGCATGCCATAGTGTGTCTCTCACATACCATGGCGCGCGCGCGCGCGCGCGCGCGCGCGAGAGAGAGAGAGAGAGAGAGAGAGAGAGAGAGAGAGAGAGAGAGAGAGAGAGAGAGAGAGAGAGA